CCCCAAAACCCCAAAACCCCATGATTACGAGATAATACCGATCTCGAGAGATAAATTATAAAATTCGAATATATAAAGTTTAAAAGATTTAAATAGCCAATTTCTATAATTATTTTAATAAATTTCACTATTAATAAGTATTATAGCTTTCTTCCGATAAATCATTGTCAAAGCTATTTCCACTTTCAGCTTCTTCAGCTTAGTTATGATTTATAATGACAATTTAGTCAAAATATCTTTGACTAGTATTTCTCTCGTTAGCATTTTCATTACTTCTGCTGACTCGCTGATTTTCATTTTGATTATTTCCACTATTTATTGAGTTGAGAGATTCTCTGCGATTAAGTTGTTGCTATTGCTGAGCTACTTAATCCTGATTACTTGGGGCAGGCTCATTTTCTTATTTCTTTTTCTCCATGAATTAGTTTAATAAATCTTGCTTTGAATACCATTCTATTGCTGAAAATGTAGCATTAATCTAATTATGATCAACTACTACATATCTCCAGTGTTTGAAATTTTTCGGTTCCTACCATTCGATTACAGTTTATCCATTTAGTTATCTAAAAGTTGAAATCAATTCCCATTTACGTTTGCTCTTTGAAGCCTAAATGACAAATGTTATATGCGCTTCGCTATTAGAGATAATTTTAGTCATTGAAATAGGAAAAGCTTCTTCAAACTCGCATTCAATAAATTTGCCTACTTTCCCAGAGTTAAAGTGAAATGACTCTCCCATTCTCTTTTCGAAGTCAACCTTATTAAAGTAATCTGTGTTATAAGTGACTTTCTTAATCTTGTCACTAATTTCAATAAGACTCTTGAAGTCATTGTAATATTTTATATTTATTCGCTACTTAAGATATTTTTGAAAAATGCTTTGAATCTCCTCAACTTCAAATATCTTTCTATCTAATAAATCCAAAATTTGTTTCTCCTAAAATCTATGTATTTCAAAGCCTTGAATGACTTTTCTAATGAACTTATTTTTTTCTTCATCACTAATTTAGTATCTTCTTGTAGCTTCATCAGCTAACTCTACAACTCTTTCATACAAAAATTTAAACAAAAAGTTAGTCTACACATATTCACAGTTCTAGCCATCTGGATAGTTGAGTTTATCTTTTACAATTTTAGCTAATATATTACCAATTTTCTCATAGTCTAAATATAAAAACTCTGACAGAAAGACTCCTTGATAAAATACGTGTATCATATTATGGCTTTAACTTATGCTATCAATTAGCTTATCGATTGATCTTTAATCCTCTGGATAATATTTATGCATCCACATCAATATCTTTAAGGAATGTACCATGCTGTATTTTTTTGACAGGCATTCTTTTATTGCAAATTTTAATTTATCGATGAGGAATCTATCTGCCTGTTCTGACAACTGTATTAATGTATCAATAGTCAGATTTTTCAAATCAGTGGTGTTGTCATAACAATATTTAAGCATTAATCTAAAAGTGGTTAAATCACAATCCTCAAGTTATAAAATATCAATTTTGTCTATTTCTATCATCAATGAATTTTTCATTTTTTTTACACTATCAATTTCACTATCAAGAAAATCAGATTATTACCTTTTACGCTTCCTTCCTATTTCACTTTTACTACCATCTTAGCTTGTTCTAAGAGATTAGCTTGAATGATCACTTATCCTGTTTTATTCACTTACTTATTTATCAAGCTTTTAATATTCTTATTGAACTTCAGTTTATTGTTGAATTTCTTCAACTGATCTTTACTCTTCTCTCATCTGCTAGCAATCACTTTAAACTGAATCTTATTAAATTTATTTCTCGTTCATTTTAATCTATCTTTTTCTAATGTTTTCTTATTATTCCGAGTTTCTACTTTCAAATTTACAGCAATTCCCACATTTTTCTAAAATCCTATAGTACTTCTATAGAGACCAATGCTGATTATAAAATTAACTTTTGAAGAAGGGACTATTCATTGCTAATATCATTTTATGAGCATAAATCTTAGTATTTTCAACCTTAACTATAACATCTGAAAGTTCTGTTTTTTCATAATAATCTGAAAATTGAGGAGGATATTTACATCTTTCAAATTACTTAAAGCTAAATGTATAGCAACTCAATCTTCCACCTGCACCAATAGTCCTATCAGGATGTTGCTATCTTAAAAGAGATCTTTTTCTGTCGAGCTCATTTTTTATACGAAGATTGGAAATTGGTCTTAAGAGAGATTATTGTCTTTAACTAGATTAGTGAGTATTGCAATAGGAGGACATTAAAGTTGTGTTTACCCCAACGATTTACCCAGAACTATTTTAATCACAAAGTATTAAATAATCTTAAGGTTAGCTTTGCATTAGTATTTTAATTAATGTCAAATATTAGTATTTTCAAAAGGATTTTTAATTGATGAATATTTACTCTGGCTAATTATTAGATTCCAGATATTGATTTCAATAATTATCAATATTCCGATTTTTAAATCATGGGGTTTTGGGGTTTTGGGGTTTTGGGG